GCAGCGGGGAGCCGGCCCCGGCGGGGCGGTCGCTGCTCTTCGGGATGATGCTCCCGGGGCCCGGGGAGCCCCCCACCTAGCAGAGACCTGGGGTGCGGATGGAGATAGGTATCGGGATGGAGACGGGAGCTGGGATGGGGTCTCTCCAATCACCCCGCAGATCTCTCTTGAAACGCGTTGGGTTTCGCTGTCACGTCTAAATCCTACAAACGTGGCTGGCTTTGGGAGCAGATGCCTTTACTTTTTACGAGTCTCTTGAAGTTGTAACATTCCTAATCGACAGCAGATCTTCACTGTGGAAAAGCGCAGTGTATTCCCTGCGTGTCAGTGCAAATAGTGGTTTTGTATCCCGTTCCCGGTGTTAGGTTCCCCACCGCTACAAGTTGACATAATGCAAATTAGCAAGGGACATCATAAAAAAACATCCGAGAATAAAGGGTTTGGAACAGCATTCCCTCCCATAACTTAAACACCAGATATTTAAACCAAATGCACTTAACAAGGCAGCTAACCTGAAACTTCAGTTCAATCGCCAGTGGGTTGACAAGTCCAAATATTTTTATTTTTAACAAATACGTAAATATCGGACAATACATTATCCAGGCAGCCTTCAGCTACAGCATCCAGTTATGTTCTGGGACGGAATAATAACCCAGCGACCGCTTTGATTTTAAACTATTTTCGCGTGGGAATCATTTATTGTGTCTCCCTCCCCGCCAGACGTTGAGATATTTTACTGCCCTTTATTTCTATGTTTAAGTATTTATTCAGGAGTGATGGTCTCTATAACTGGAAGTGCAATTTTTTTTTTATTCCCTTAAACGGAGCAAGTGCAGTTATTATTGCAGTTGTTGTGTTTATCATCTCAACTAATCCGCTTTATTTCTAAAGAGAATTGCAATTTTTATACTATTAATACACGCACCCATTCAGAGCCATACAAAGAGCGAGGCGAGAGTCTTCCTTTGGGAACACAGAAACCTCCAGTTAGAAGAGAATATCTCCGGTTTGTTTCTTGGTTTAGGGGATCCTACATTCGTGTTCTGACAACATGATTTGAAAACTATTTCTGAAAAGGCAAACTTGTTCGAAGGCATCAGCTTACAGCGTCGGCCACAGGACCACACTCGACATTTCAGCCCACCAAATAGGAATAAAACTGTTAGCTTTTAAGGGGATGGGGGAAGAAACAAATGAAAAAAAAAAAAAGAAAGGGAGGGAAAAAAAAAGAATATCACGAAATGAGGGAGAACTGAAGAAGCCGATATGGGGGAACAACTTTGCTTCGCCTCTGCCTCTTAAAAATGCCACTCTTTTACAAAAGAAAGGAACGAAAATCTGTTCATCTGCCCAGCCCTGCTAGTGAAAAAATGTTGGACCCTAGACTCTTCCCCGAAACAGTGATGCTGTTGGGGTGAAATGTCAGTGCTAAGGTTTATTTTGCCACGCTGCCGTCGTGTTCATGAACACTTATTCTCCAGAATGATAACGCGATGGACAGTTGTTTTCTTGTTGCTGTTTTGTTTGTTTGCTTGCTTATTTTTCCCCCGGAGATAGGGAAAAAAAAAACAGTATAACAACAGCGGTGACATGAACAATAAAAATAACATGCGTATCCCTGAGCATGGTACCATGTTATCCTGATGGATCTGTCTTCGCTAGTGTATTATATTACCTTGAGGCTTCAGGACAATGTAATAGTCCCAAGCAAATTTTCCCTCTTCGCGGATCTGAAAGAGT